CGCTGGCTTTGCTGAAGTCGACTTAGACGCAAGCAACTTCCTTGTCATCTGCTCCCCTGCCGCTTGCCGCTGCCCGTCTACAATCTTCTCTGTGTCACGTCGGCCACCGGCGATGCAACCGGTCGGCGCCGCAGGCGACACACTAAGTCTCCCCTCATGGTCGGCGGCCGACGAGGATCCGTTCTGAGGAAGGTCGACAATGGGGGCACAATAGGAGGAGGGAGTGGGACCTCCTCTACGTCCTCGTCATCATGCTCATCGACGTCGGTGAGCAGGGGAGGCATCTCCGAGGAGGAATCCGGCGGCGGGGCAGACGGCGTCCTCGTCGACGCTGGCCCGTACTCTGCCTTCCTCAACTCCAACGATAGGGTCTCATAGAAGATCGCTTCGACCGTCGTGACGACTTTGTTGTCTGTCAAGTCGAGCACCTCCCATTCCTTGCTCTCTGGCGACACGCCAAGGTGGAGACCCCAATGAGCCTTTGGCGCCAGCTTCCCGCCACGCTGCTGCTCGGGGACCATGAACTGCACCATGCATCCCCACACCCGCGTCAGCGTCAGATCCGGCTTCTTCTCGAATAGCAGCTCGTGTGGCGTTGTCCCCAAAGGCTGAGATGCTCGTTTAAGGCAGTTGCGCACTCAGATGGGCTGCCGCAGAGCGAGGTGCCACCAATGATGCTTCACGCCCATGTGCAGAAGCATCGTTCGTATGGCCTCAACCACTGTGTGCATCTCCCGCTCTGCCATTCTGTTCTACTGCGGTGTGTAGGGGCACGTCAGGTCGTGGAGGATTCCCTTGTCCTCGACGAGGTCGGTGAAGGCCCAACCGAGGAACTCCCCTTCACGTTCAGAATGCAGTATCTTCACCGTCTTCAAAGTTTGCCGCTCCACCACCTTCAGCCATTTGTCGAAGACGACCAACACGCCGCTCTTCTTCGCGATCGGCCTCACCCACGCGTAGCGAGTCATCCGATCTTTCAGTAGAAGAAAGTAGAGGCTGTCATCGTTGGCGGCCACCCGAAATGGTCTGCAAAGGTCGACGTGCACCACGTCAAGCGCATTCTCTGCGTTTGATCCTTGGCTGGGGAAGGTGTCCCGCACAAGCTTGCCGCCGATGCAGGAGGCATACGGCAGATTCTGCGGTCGACTTCTTGATGTCCAGACCGGCGGAGACCTCATGCTTCACCGAGATTTTGATCGTGTCGACGCCGACATGCGCAAGCCGTGTGTGCCACATGTTCGAAGTCGACATCGTCGCCGAAGCGATCGTTTGCAGAGCCACAACCTCCATTGTCGTCGACTCGTCGAGAAGGGGTGCAGGTTGGTGCAGAGAACTCTGGCGGAGTAGCATGCTCGACCAAGGACATCGCCGGTAGAAGACACGAGCAACATCTCTCTGCCGTTGTCCTGTAACTTCACTTCGTTCTTCTTGAGCTGGCCAGTAGACAGCAGGTTCGCGTGCACACCCGGAACGTAGAGTACGTAGGGGACGAGGACCTGCTTCCTGGCCTCCCCTTGTAGAGCAACGGTGCCTCTGCCTTCAATGCTATGAAGTGCCCTATTGAAGCCGCGGACGTGGCGAATGTCGCCGCTCGGCTGTATGTCAACGAAGGCCTCCTTCGTCCCCATCAAACGGTGGGAGCAACCACTGTCGAGCAGCACAACAGTCAAATTGGCCTGCACAGCAGCAGCGACCGCCTTGAAGTCTTCGCCAGACTCCAGCGCTAGCAAGATCGTTGGCTCCACCACGCTGACCATCAAGCACGAAGCCTCCTCGCGACGAGCATTGCCGCCAGAGGACTCTGCATCCTTCGTCGAAGACGTCTTCGATGCTTGCTTCTCTTTGTGCGGCTGGTTGTCCCGACAATGATAGCCACCATCTCCCTTTCTGCGGTTGGCATCCTAGTCGTCATCAGAAGCGCCTCGGTCAGGGCAGTCGTACGAGAGGTGGTTGGGAGCATCGCAGATGTAGCAGCGACATCCTTCTCGACGCGAACCACTGCTATGCGATCTCCTCCTTTTGCCGACTTTCCGCGGTCTGCGCCATCCGTCGATTTCGCGGTCTGTGCCGAAGGCTCGCTCGCTGGGGGCTTCACCTGGGTGTGTCGCCTGAGAGCAAGGGCTGGGAGGTGCTGGACTTGACCGACAACAAGGTGGTCACGTCCGTTGAGGTGATCTTCTACAAGACGTTGTCGCTGGAGGTGTGGAAGGCAAAGTATTGGCCGACGTTAGGGCGGACGCAGGCACACCCCCCGACGGACACCTCGACAACGACAGTTCCACTGCTTGCCAAAGTTGACAAGCCTGCTGATCGGGACGTTGTGGAGGTTCTTCCACCTCCCCCTGTTCTTGCTCCTCCCTCCCCCGTCGTCGATCGGCCTGAGTCGACGCCTGTGTCGGCCACCGGCGATGAGGGGCGCCTTGAGGCGTCGCCTGTGGCACCAACCAGTGGCATCGCCGGCAGTCGACAGGGCGCCAAGCTCGTCTACTAGGATAGAAAGCCATCGACGACAGGGGAGCAGCAGACAAGGGAGCCGGTCGAACAGGAGGCAGCAGCAGGGGTGCAATCGACAGGGGAGCAGCAGCCGGGGCGTTTGACAGGGGAGTTGTCGAAGTCAGCAGGAGGTGAGCAACTCGTCGAAAGTTCGAAGTAGCAGGTCGACGACGAGGACGTCAACGAGGAAGGGGAGCAGTCCGTGGGTGAGGAGTCCACCGACAGCGACATGGTGGAGGTGCCGATCAAAAAGCCTATGCTGCAACGCACGGGTTGAGCTCGACGGCCGCCGGAGGGGCTGAGCTTCCACACCAATCTACTGCCAGCTGCCTTCACCATGGTGTACGACGAGGTCGACAACAACCTGTTGTACGACGATGCCAATGAGGATGAAGAACTCCCGGAGCTCGACCCCGACGTGCATGCCGACCCCGAATACCGCTGGGACATTGTCGCGATGACAATGAAGGAGGCGTTGGCGAGCTGGAAGGGCGAGGCGGTGGAGGCCGCCATGGAAGAAGAGATCCGCAGCCTCATCGGCACAGGCACTTGGGAGCTGGTCGAACACCCACGCAGGGTGAACATCGACCAAGTGGGCATGAAGAACCGGTGGGTGTTGACGACCAAGTACCGCATCGACGACACCGTCGAGCGCGAGAAGGCAAGGCTGGTCGTGAAGGGCTTCACGCAGGTGTACGGCGCCGACTACGACGAGACATACTTGCTGGTGAGCAGTTACATCACGCTGAGGATCTTCCTCAGCATCACCGCCGTCCTCGACCTCAACCTGATCTAGCTCGAAATCAAGAACGCTTTCCTACAGAGCAAGCTCGACAGGGTGCTCTACATGTACCAGCTGGACTACTTCGAAGATGGGACCGGCCGGGTGTGAAAGCTGCTAAAGAGCCTCTACGGGCTGAAGTAGTCGCCGCTGCTGTGGTACAGGGCTCTCAACAGTGTGCTGCTGAACGCTGGCTAGAAGAAGAGCCAGGTCGACACGACGCTCTACTTCAAGGCGAGCGACGACGGAGTGACCTGCTGGGTGCTGGTCTACGTCAACGACCTGCTCGCCGCTAGCAGCAGCACTGCGATGATGAAGGAGCTGAAGGAGCTGTTGGAGGCCGCCTTCGAGCTGCGCGAGATCTCGCCGGTGGTGAAGTACCTTGGGCTGGAGATCGTGTATGACGACACTGTCAAACTTATATGCTATAGTCTGTGTAGGCTGTAGTGGGGTAGACTATATGGGGTACAACATTTCTAGGTTTTCCTACTTGTACCCACCTCTTTCCTATTATAGAGCAGGTATAGAGCAGGTTCCCTAGTGGGAACTCTCCTTAGGGCCCACCACTGAACTCGGTTTTTCTTCTCCTGCCCGAGGCGCGCCCCGTTGGCCGCCCTCACGTCGCGCTCCCTTAGCGGCCCCTCTCACGGCCCCTCGTGCCCCCCCCTTAGCGGCCCCGTCGCCGCCCTATGCGGCCCCGTCGCCGCCCCTCTAGGCCCCTCACGGCCCCTTCGCGGCCCCGTCGCCGCCCCTCTAGGCCCCGTCGCCGCCCCTCTAAGCCCCTCGCGGCCCCTTTGCGGCCCCGTCGCCGCCCCTAGCGGCCCCGTCGCCGCCCCTCTAGGCCCCTCACGGCCCCTTCGCGGCCTCGTCGCCGCCCCTCTAGGCCCCTCGCGGCCCCTCTGCGGCCTTGTCGCCGCCCCTAGCGGCCCCGTCGCCGCCCTTCGCGGCCACCTCGCCGCCCTTCGCGACCATGTTGCCGCCTCTACTGACCCTGTCGCCGACCTTCACGGCCCCTTCACCAGCCGAACCGCCGAGCCGCCCAGCAGCAGAGACGCCGAGCCGCCCAGCAGCCGAGCCGCCGAGCCGCCCAGCAGCCGAGCCGCCGAGCTGCCAAGCCGCCCCGCAGCCGAGCCGCCAAGCCACCGAGTCACTGCCGAGCCGCTGTCACCGCGGTTCCAGCCCTGTTCCTACCGGCGCGCCCCGGCCCTACCCACTCGGACTGGTGAGAGCACTCCCTGCTAGACCACTGCTGTCACGGGTACCCCTAGTGTCCTTATCTTTGATGCTGAGGGTCGTGCTGTTGACTTTGAGGTCTAAGTTGATGACCTCCAACTTTTCCTACAGTGCGATAGGGCAGACGGACTCTCCCTGTTCGATCTCACCTCTGGTGCCTCTCCTGCCCCGCCTGCTACTGCTGACAGCACTGTTCGCTCATAGTGGGCCACACGCGATGCTGCTGCCCGTATTGCTGTGCGTCGCCACTTACCGACCGCTGAGCGTGCGCACTTTAGTCAGTAAAAGAGTGCTAAGACCTTGTACAACGCTATAGTTGCACGCTACTCTTCCCCTGCCACTACTGCGCTTAGCCGCCTCATGCTACCGTACGTGTTCCCTGACCTTGCTTTCTTTCCCACAGTCGCTGACCTCGTTACGCACCTTCGCACTAGTGACACTCGCTACCGCGCTGCGCTTCCTGTTGAGTTTTGCGCCAAGAACCCCCCCCCCCATGTACATAACCCTCTACTATATAGTCACCCGGCTCTCTGACTCCCTTCGCTTAGTCAAGGACCACTTCCTCTCAGTTTGCCCCACCACACTCACCATTGACCTCCTCGAGGAGCGCCTCCTAGCAGCAGAGAAGAGCATAGTTGCTGTAGGAGCCTGTCGTGGTGACCCTCGCACCCCCGTCTTTGAGGGGTGTTCCCCCTCCCCCCTCTTGCCCTCTGTTGCTTCTGCTGCTGCGGCCGACCTCGTTGGCTTCGAGTCGGTCGGCGCTGCGTCTGCCCCTAGCGGGAGACGCCGCACCGGCAAGGGCAAGGGGGGCAAAGGCGTTGGGGTGGCTGGAGGGGGGGGTTGAGGTGGTGGTGGAGGCAGTGGAGGGGGTGGGGGTGGTGGTGGGAGTGGTGGCGGGGGTGGAGGTGTCGGTGGCAGCAGTGGAGGCGGAGGAGGCGGCGGCGGTGGCGGAGAGAGCGTTGGCGGTGGAGGTTGCGGAAGCGGCGGAGGTGGCGGAGGCGGCGGCGGCAGCAGTGGAGCTGGTCGCGGCTCTGCGCAGAGGAGTGGTTCCGGTGGTGGTCCACGCCAACAGCAGTAGTGCAATCGTGAGACCCCGTCCCCCCAGCAGCTTCGTGAGTGGCACGCGGGCGTCAGCGAGGTGGGGGTACTGGTCCCTGCACCTACGTCCTCCCTACTGGAGACCGCGCTGGTGAGCAGTGCGGGGGCCCGCACTCCACTTAGCGCTGCTTCGGCCGCCTGACGGACGCGTGGCGTCACTAGTTCCCTGACGCCACTGAGATCCCTCGCTGGGGAGAGCTAACTAGGGCGAGGGTTGCTATCTTTGATCTTGATTATGATGTTATTCTTGTTGCCATGTATGCTGTGTCTACTAGTGATGAGGGTGACTGTTACCTGTGGGTTCCGCCTGACCCGGGCATTGAGGCTGCTGCTCTAGGTGCTGGTGAGGCTGCTGCTCTAGGTGCTAGTGCGCCTGCTGCCCTGGGTGCTGGTGCATCTGCTCTCTCAGATACCACGTCTGCTCAGGCTTTACACACCTTCACCCTTGACTCGGGTGCTTCCCGCTCCTTCTTTCGAGACCGCACCACGCTTACGCCGCTTAGTCCGCCGGTTGCGGTCTCCCTGGCGGACCCCTCTGGGGGTCCTGTCCTTGCTAGCTTCTCCACTGTCTTACCGTGTCCGGCAGCCCCCTCTGTCACCCTGTCAGGTGTCTACCTCCCCTCGTTCTCTAGGAACTTGGTGAGTCGTGCTGATCTAAAGGATTGGGGGGTTGATGAGTTCACTCCTACGAGTCAGCGGGTAACCCTAAACCCTAAACCCTGCGTCTTCCTTGGCTTCCCCCCTGACGCGCCTGGTTGGCAGTTTTACAACCCCACCTCGCGCCGTGTTCTATCCTCCCAGGACGTCACCTTTGACGAGTCGGTGCCTTTCTACCGTCTCTTCCCCTATCGCACTGCGCCCCTCCCTCCGCCGCCGCTATTCCTTGCGCGAGGTCCCCCCCTGGTAGACCCCCTCCCCCCTCAGGGTCCTGCCTCGTCATGTGTGTCCCAGGTAGACGCAGTCGAGCCTGTCGAGGTGGCTGTTGACTCTCGTGCTGCTAGAGGTGCTGAGCCTGGGGGTGCGGAGCCGGGGGGTGCTGAGTCTGGGGGTGCTGAGCCTGGGGGTGCTGAGCCTGGGGGTGCTGAGCCGGGGCGTGCAGAGCCTGGGGGTGCTGGGTCTGCTCGTGTGGCCTCTCACGGTGCTTCGTCGAGGAGGGAGCTACTCTCTCCGCAGGAGCTGCGCGAGTGGTTTGCCCGGCGCTGGAGCCATGCTGCTGGAGCTGGAGGTACTACTGTTGCTTCTGGTCCTGGAGGTGCTCGTACTGGCGGTACTGGAGCTGCTGGGACTGGGGGTGCTGCTGGGGCTGCTGGAGTTAGTCCTGCTGGAGGTACTACTGGAGCTGCAGGCGCTACTGGAGCTGACAGTCCTGCAGGAGTTGGTGCTACTGGAGCTGCTGGGGCTGGAGCTGCTGAGGGTGTTGGCGCGGGTGGTGCTGCTGACGCTGGTGCTTCTGAGGGTGCTGGGGTTGGCGCTGTTGGGGCTGGAGGTGCTACTGGCGCTAGTGCTGCCGCTGGGGGTACTGGTGCTGTCGCTGCTGGTTCAGGAGGTGCTGCGCAGCCAAAGCCGTACTTCGTTCCGCTCCTTGAGCAGGTTCTTGGTCACTCGCCCTCTAATGGTCCTGCTCTTCCCTTGGAGTGTCCACAGCCTGTCTAGTTGCGGTCACAGTTACAGCCCGCCTCCCCCCTGCCTGCTCCTTCTCCCTACTCAGGTCCTATTGGAGGTCTTGCTGAGCGTCGTGAGCCTGCGTCTCGTCCTGCGTCGCCTGTTCGTGCTGCTCGCACTAGTAGTCGTGCTCCGCGTCCGCGTCCTCCTGCGGTCCTAGGCACACACCAGATGGCACTGCGTCCTTCCACTGCTCCCCTGCGTGTCCCGTTGCCGTCTCCTCCAAAGTCCTCTCTTCCTGTTCTTGCTGACCCGGAGTCTGACTCTCTTCGTGCTGCCAGCCCTACTGTCACACGTCTCGTGGCCACTGTTGTCACTGACCCTTCCTTCGAGTCCACTGCTGCGTCTGCCTTAGTTGCTGAGCTTGTCGACTTTGCTGCTCGCTGTCGTTTAGACTACGCCGCGAATCTTGTTGCTGAGTCTGAGTTTGTCTGTCCTCCGTCCGTCGGGGGTGAGTGTGCTCTTAGGGCGAACGTCCTTGAGGACAGGCAGGAGGAGTTCCAATGTTTTGCTGCTGCTTTGCCTCATCTTGTGTCCACGCTGACTGCCCCTGAGGGAGACCCGGATGCACCAGACATCCCGACTCCTCGATCGTACGCTGAGGCGATCGAGGGTCCCTACTCCTCTCAGTAGCACTCAACCATGGACGCAGAGATGGCTTCCTGGAAGTCCACAGGCACCTACGTCGACGAGGTTCCCCCACCTGGGTCGAACATCGTCAGTGGCATGTGGATTTTCAGGGTGAAGCAGCCGCCGGGTTCTCCACCTGTCTTCAAGGCGCGTTACGTGGCTCGAGGCTTCAGTCAGCGGCAGGGAGTTGACTACTTTCAGACCTTCTCTCCCACCCCGAAGCTGCACATAGCCGCTCAGCGCGACTACGAGCTTCACCCTCTTGACTTCAGCACAGCTTTCCTACAGGGCAGCCTGCACGAGGAGATCTGGCTGCGCCGCCCACCTGGCTTCACTGGGTCGTTTCCTCCTGGTACCCAGTGGAGCCTCCGGCGGCCAGTCTACGGTCTCCGCCAGGCGCCCCGTGAGTGGCACGACACACTGAGGACTACACTTGCGGCTCTTGGGTTTGCTCCTTCTACAGCCGACGCGTCGCTGTTTCTGCGCACCGACACCTCTTTGCCGCCGTTCTACATCCTCGTGTACGTCGACGACTTGGTCTTTGCCAATGTTGACACTGCTGGACTCGCCCACGTGAAGTCCGAGCTGCAGAAGAGACACACGTGCACAGACCTGGGTGAACTGCGCAGCTTCCTTGGCTTGCAGATCACCCGAGATAGAGCACAGCGCACCATTACCCTGACTCAGTCACACATGGTGCAGCAGGTCCTTCAGCGCTTCGACTTCACGTACTCCTCGCCTCAGGCCACTCCTCTGTCTACTCGCCACTCGCTCTCAGCTCTGCCTTCGGATGAGTCGGTAGAGCCGAGTGGCCCGTACCCAGAGCTTGTTGGCTGCCTCATGTACCTGATGACCTGCACACGACCTGACCTTGCATACCCTCTTAGCATCTTGGCACGCTATGTTGCTCCTGGGAGACACCGACCAGAGCACATGGCTGCAGCGAAGAGGGTGTTGCGTGTGAAAATAGTGTGTAGAGTTAGGAGCCATAGCTAGGTAAGTCTTAGCTAGGCAAGAGAAGTTTAGGCAAAAGAAGAGAGGGTTCACTTGAAAGCAGCAGGATACATATAGGAAACCCTAAGGGGTTGTACTTGCTATAGAGTACCCCACTGCAGGCTAGAGAACAATAACATTCTGACACACCCCCATAGCCAAAGTGGGGTGTAATCAATAGAGCAAGCAAAGCAGAACAAGCTCAGGGTGGATCACAATGTCACCACACATTCTGAGCACAAGTACAAGAAGCAACAGTTAAAGTTCACAATTATGAGCAAAGCTAGTGGTAGTCACAACGAGCAAGTGAGGAGGAGGAGGGACAGTGAGAGGAGAGGAGATAGGAGGCGACGGCTGAAGCTGCAGACACACGGGCAACAGGAGTCACCATCGGGTGCAGACAACAGCCGATGGATGCACAACGGTGCAAGTCGGGCCCATCGTCTGCGTGCACCTGCGGGCGTGCACACTGCTGTCTTCTACGAGGCAACGCTAGACAACCGCTCTGCTGCAGCGTTGGCACGTCGACGACCTGCAGTGTTGGCAGGTCGCCTTTTTGCAAAGCTGGCGCGACTCCTCTACACAACGCTGGCAGGCGGTCAGCCATACAGTGCTGGCGGTCAACCACGCTAGCTGCAGGGTTGCTAGGTGCCTGATGTAGTCATTCTTGTTATTGTGAACTCAACTATCTTGTAATTCGAATTTTGTTTGTGAAACTCTTGCTAACTTCTCCCATGAATGCGCAAGTGCTAAGGAACGCAAGCAAAGCTATGATCACTCTTAGTAGATCGTGCCTTACCCCCCCCCCCCCTAGTCTAGCTCACTACCTTTGTCGAGTGACTCTCCGCATATTGTACACAGGTTACATAGCGAAATTGATAGACGATGTTAGAATAGGGCTATTTGGGCATCCAGTGCTTGAGAATGTTGCAACAAGCGTGCCCGGTTGAAGGCATCGACTTCTAGTCACAAGGAATATGTGGCCAGCAATTCGTGCAGCCCATGTGCGAGGGGGGGTTGTACCAGAGGTCACCAGGCTGCTCCTGGCCACTGGACAATCACGAGCATTTGTTTTGCTTGGGTTCATCGCGCTTGTTGGAGAGTCGCAGGAATCAGGTGGGGGTTGGGAATGTGATGCCCTTTTCTCCATGCCAGTCTTCCGCAAAGGCGTTGATCGCTTTGACTTCGGGATGGGGGAACTTCGAGAAGAAGTGTGGGAGCAGCGCGTCCCGTGCGTTTGCGAATAGGTCGACGGAATGGGGACCCCAATGTAGTTCGAGGAGGCAGAACCAGGGTTGTTTTAGCGCATAGTCGACGTGGTCTTGCATTTTAGACAGCTCGCCAGCTTTGGTGTTCTGCTCGTGGGGAATCTACTCGATGGCCAACCGCATCACGTTTATTGTTCATATGAACGCCATTCAATTCTCGTTGTGTACTAGATGTGTGTCGTGGGATGTCGGGCATGCATGCACTTGCTTCGACCATTGCTCCGCAGAAGGTAGAGAGGGTGGCTCCCTAACTGTGCGCTGGCATCCTCCTAAATAATCGCGTCAAAGTGACATGGCTGGCGGAATGGAGCACCGCTGAACTTGTCAAACTGCTCTTTCCAGAAGCGCAACTTGTTGATGGCTGCCTCTGATAAAGGCACCTTCGAGAACCGCTCGCATGAGAAACAACACACACCGCGTTCTTAGCATACAGTGCGTTTACAACTTTATTAATTCGCTTCTTTCCTTCCATTACTGGTCCCAAATCCACTTGTTTCTATCACAGACAAAGCAGCTCGACACTGGGATACCCTACACCCGTCTTCCCGCTCCTCTTCCCATTTCCCCTCCCTCAACTCTCTCCATTACCATTCCCCTGTCCCTGTTCCCTTTCCCTCTCCCCCCCATCTCCCCATCCCCCCCTCTCTCAATCCCCACTCTCCTCTCTCCACTCCCCTCCCATCTCCCCGTTCTCCCTCCCCTCCCCCAGTCCCCTTTTCGTACCCCCTCCAAATACTCGCACCCCTCCCTCCATCCTGTACCACAGCTATTTTTTGTGCAGCGACGGGCCCTTTATCGGTTATGTGCTCTTCAGCCATGAACTGACTTCTTGGCGCCGTAGGTGGGAGGGGCAGAGTCGCTCAGCCACCGTGCATAACCCTCTGCAATTCTGGTGAAGAGAGAAGGTGGTGGATAATCCTGGTCCCGGAGCATACCCCCCACTTCCCAACCCCCACTCCCTCCCCCCCTCCTTTCCCATCCACCCCTCCCCAACCCCTTCTCCTCCCCACTCCCCTCTCCCCATCCCCCAGTACCCACTCCCCAACCCCCATTACCCACTGCCCTCCCCAAACACGCACCCTCGTGTCGTCTACCTCCTTGTTTGACCCACCTCCCTGCATTGCCTCCTCCACCATCTCTTCATTGGATCATTGTTCTTTGTGTTTTGTGTGGGCCCGGCCCACCTTTTGCCTGCTGCCAGAAGGCTTGACAACGACTTAGGTCTGAATGTGCAAGTGAGAGGTGTAATGGTGATCATGGCATGTACGTTAGTTGTGACTGGTGTCGTGTAAGTTGTAACTGTGCAGCATCTGAGCAAGTTTATAACAAGGATTATCTGAGGGCCCAGGGGAGCTCTTGTTCACTGCAAAAGAAGTTCACATACCGGTAGCCAGCCATCAATTTGTTAATCAACCCTAAAACAACACAAATGTTCATCAATTCAGCATTGACATGTTGCCTATAGATGCCCCCTTCCCCATTCAAGGGCTTCAAGTCAAAATAAAGCAAGCCCACATCCACATGCATCTCCACTCTCCAACAATCGCACCATTGCATAAAACCCTGATGAAATCCTAGCCATGCACTTCCACCCAAATGCTTCTACTTCCTCCTCCGGTATTTTGACAACTTTTGAGACGTCTCAAACACCCTAGTAGTGCACTTCCACCCAAACACGTCTACTTCTTCAGATACCAGTAAAACACCGGGCCACACAGCGCCAACTTGTTACCCGCACGCCCTACAGTACCATATGCGTTCATCACAACCGCATCCAGTGCGGCTTTGCCGGCGCTTTGACTGGCTACGCTCAGCTCAGACTCGAACTTCCAGCTGAAGCGCTTGGCCTTCGGGCGTGTGATGTTAAGAAAGGGCAGCGTTGTCGCGGGAACTCCTGAGCAGGTAGCTGCAAATTCATACACGGGTGAATCGCCTCCCTTGAGGTTCAAAAGCAGTACCTTAATTTTCACGGTGTACGACGTTGGAGAGTACCTGTCAACAGGGGAAAGCAGAGGCACTTATTAGAGAGTATACTTGTCAGAATCCCAACCACTAGACCATCGGGATAAAAGGGCTTGTTTCAGTAGCGGGTCGGTGGGCCCATAACCCCCCAGGCGAACGCGCCTGCAACCCTCTCCAGGATCAATCGGGCATCCACAGTGCAGATCTACTGACACTCCCCCACACTGGGAGGCCCAGGACTAAGCACAGCGGCAACGGCCTACATGTGCATACACCGGGAATCGAACCCGAGACCGCTCTCATACCATGTGAAAACTGAAACGAGAATGAAGAAGAGAGGAGGGATTTCACTAGCAGCAACGAGGATACATATAGCAAACCCCAGATGGGTTGTACTTGCTATAGAGCACCCCACTACAGGCTAGAGAATAACATTTTGACACACCCCCATAGCCAAAGTGGGGTGTAATCAGCACAATGAGCAAGCAGGCATAAAGCAGGAGTTCACAATAGGTAAGTAAGGCTAGAGCTAATCACAGAGGGCAAGTGAGGAGGAGGAGAGACTGTGGGGGAGAGAAGATGGGAGGCGACTGCTGACGCTGCAGACACACAGACGAGCTGCGCGCTCAGTGGCTACCGAAGCAAAGGCCCGGACTACAGGAGTAACTGGCTCCGCGGCTAAAAGTAGCGGCAGACGAGCAACTGACCCACAGGCGACTGGCGACTATCGGAGATTGTAGCCTCCGGACTGCTGGTGCTGCTGACGACAAGGCTGCTGCCTCCACGCAACCTCCCCCAGCTGCCCAACGCCCCTCTCACACACCCCCTGCTCAAACCCTAACCCTACACCCACAGCACCCCCGTAAACCCTAAACCCCAGACGCCCACACATCCACCTCCCTCAAAACCCTAGCTCCACTCCCACAGTACCCCCCTTAAACCCTAAACCCCAGGCTCCCACACATCCACCCCCCTCAGCGTCACCTGCAGCAGTGGGAGACGAAGGAGGAGGAGCAGGGGAGACCACACACCCGTCACCCCCTTCTTGCCACCCCCAAACCCTAACACAGGGCAGGGCGGGATGGCGGGTAGGGAGGGGGGGGGGGGGGGGGGGGGGGGGGGGGGGGGGGCGACGCGCGGCCTCCCAGGGCGCCAAAGCAAGCGGCAGAAGGGGCGACGCTCGCCCCCCCCCCCCAGGTTCGGCCCCCGAAGGAGCCGCGACGGGCGACGGGAAAAGAAGGGGGGGGGGGGGGGGTGCACCGGTGCGCCGCGGCTGGCGGCGGGGCATGGCCGGGGCGGGGCCGGGGCCGCTGTAGGCGGCGACGGGGCCGAGGAAGGGCGGCGACGGGGCCGCGTAGGGGCGGCGACGGGGCCGCTGAAGGGCGGGGACGGGGCCGCTGGAGGGGTGGTGGCAACGGGGCCGCTGAAGGGGCGGCGACGGGGCCGCAGAAGGGCGGCGACGGGGCCGCTGAAGGGCGGCGACGAGGCTGCTGTAAGGGGCGGCAACGGGGCCGCGAAAAGGGTGGCGTCGGGGCCGCGGAAGGGCGGCGACGGGCCGCGAAAGGGGCGGCGACGGGGCCGCGAAGGGGCCGCGAGGGGCCTGGAAGGGCGGCAACGGGGCCGCGAAGGGGCCGCGAGGGGCTAGGAAGGGCGGCAACGGGACCGCTAAGAGAAGCGCGAGGGGCACGCCACGGGGCGTGCCGAGCACAGAGTAGCAGCGGAAGCAGTTGGGTCCTAGGATCGGAACCACTCAGATAACATGTGAAAATTGAAACGAGAATTAAGAAGAGAGGGGTTTCACTAGCAGCAATGAGGATACATATAGCAAACCCCAGATGGGTTGTACTCGCTATAGAGCACCCCACTACAGGCTAGAGAATAAGATTCTGACATGGATATATTTTACATGTTGTTGGCATTTCTATTAATGGGAAATCTGAATTGTTAATATTAATAACATTTGTGGAATGTCCAATAATAAGCAGTATGAAGCCAACATTCAAACTCACTGAAGACTACAATGCAATCAGATCTAGTTGTCAGTAGATCTGCACTGTGGTTATGGGCGCACTGACCCGCTACTGAAACAAGCCCTTTTATCCCAATGGTCTAGTGGTTGGGATTCTGACACTAGTCTCCAAAATCACTTCGCGAAAACTCATACCAAACGTCAGTCAAAGGTATTCAAGATGCAGTTTCGAACAGAGAAGCATTCGAGTACCATTTGAAAAGCATTCGACAAAGCATTTGGACAACGACCTATACTTTCTCAAAAAAGCGTTTGAAACCCTACGTTTATAAATCATTTGAAAAAGCTCCAACGAACCTCTTTTCATCGGCTTTCTGGACGCTGGATTTTTGTGATGACATCATTGCTCCCGCCGCTGCTGTCTCACCTTGGCGACTCTTCTACCACTTCTACCGCTTCTGTCGCTTCGGCCAGGCCCCTGATTTATGGAGGGAAGGCATTCTATAAGTATCCTTCCCGGTCGCTTCCCCTCGTTCTCGATCCCTAGCATTCCCGTTTTGTATGATGTTGACGTCAGCTCATAATCAGCAGCTACCAACCTTTTTCGCCTTCCCTGTCCGCCTGTTCCCTCTCGCCCGTGTCTAGTGACATACGTAGCCAAACTGCGTCCAACCGTGATCACCGGGCAAGTGGTCGGTGACGCAGGAGCGTGGGGGAAATTTGTGGTCAAGGCAGTGAGGTACGCCGTTGTCCCCTCGTTTAATTGTTCCACTGGTACCGAATCTTGGCGTGGCTAGTAAGCACCAAGCCTTTTCTCGGCTCAGTTGATTGCCATCAGGCCGTGGATGATGATGATTCTTGAGAGTTCTCAAATATCGCTTTAGAAGTTGCTCGCCAGCGTGGTAATATCCAAACTCATATCGGAATAGCTGCAAATCCTGAAGAAAACGCTTAAGCAACTGTAAGGAACGAGCTTGCTCGCCAGTATGGTAATACAATCCATCTTCTCACGTAATGACTGCAGGGTGGAGATGCATGTGGATCTGGGCATGTGAACTTGTAACAGCATGTGGGTGTGGTATGGGCATGTGGGCATTTGTCGATAAGATGACACTTGAGGCGCGTGGATCAGGTACTAAGGGTATTGCTCTGTGTGAGTACTTGTAACTGTGGTCATCTAGGGTCACACATCTAGCTGATAGTTATATGCCAATGATACTCTACTATTGAAGTGCAAGACTGGTGCCAGCTAAAGTCATTCCTTTTGCACTAACCAACCAGAAACCCCTAGCCCCTGACATAGCCACCGTCGTAGCAGTTGTTGAGATTCCTTAGCACTGACACACATCATGGACACAAAAGATGTCGAAGTGACCTGCTTTGTACCACCATCACCCTTGATCCGCAACTCTCCTTCCCATAAACTCAAGCCCTTTTGCACACAGCAAGAGACCTTGTTGTTGGGCTGAAAAAGCCCTTAGGATCTTTGCAGGAGTGAACTCTGGGTAGGACTGATGTAATAGCGGAAGCGTTTAATGAAGAGTTGTGAACCACCTTGCGCTAGTGTGTGAGGGCAAAGTTGATTAATTAAAGCAAAGAGATACAGGATTATATAAGAGTACAAGGAATACGAAGAGATACAGTTATAACTACTTTACTGTTGCTGTTGCGGTTCGATACAGTGACGACTCGGGCAACGGCTCTGAGATGTTGCTCAACCTCCGAGGGTTGAGCAAAGTCAAAACCGCGAGGGTTGACCCTCCATCAGTTGCTCAACCTCCGAGGGTTGACCCTCCATCAGTTGCTCAACCTCCGAGGGTTGACCCTCCATCAGTTGCTCAACTTCGGAGGTTTGACCCTCCATCAGTTGCTCAACCTCCGAGGGTTGACTCGCTGATGCTGCGATATGTTGTGCTTCGCTTGTGCCTTGGTGTTTCGACACGACAGAGGCGCTTAGAATTAGTTGTTTCCAACACTTGTCCCCTCAGATACTCTTCATTGTTGTGAAACTTACTGTCACACAGCATGGTCACGATGGTGTGCCCGCTCAAGCACCACCCCCCTCTGCAAATCTCCCACCCATAAACTCAAGCCCTTTGGCAGACGGCACAAGCCCTTGTTCTCTCAGATACCCCTCATTATGGAACTTGCTGAGATGCCGGAAGCCACTGTCACACAGCATGGTCACAATGGTGTGTCCCGGGCCAAGCTTTTCCGCCACTCGCACAGCACCCACACAGTTCATGGCCGAGGAGGACCCGATGAAGAGCCCGTCGCTGCGCAAGAGATAGCTGGGGCACAGAACGGAAGGGGGAGAGAGGGGGACGGGGAGGGAGCACAAGGGGTTGTGTTTTAGAGAGTGCTGCCTCCCCCACGCGCACGGCGCCCACACAGTTGGTGGGTGAGGAGGAGCCAATGAAGAGCCCTTCATTGCGCAGCAGATAGCTGAGGAAGGCAGGGAGCGGGGGTGAGGGGGAGGGAGGTGTGACTGAGAGAGAGCTTTTCAGCCACTCGCACAGCACCCACACTGTTCATGGCAGAGGAGGAGCCGATGAAGCAGAGCCTGTCGCTGTGCGAAGCAGGTAGCTGAGGCACGCAGGGGAGAGGGGGACACAGGGAGGAGGTGTCGCAGAGAGCGAGGTTCTCTGCCACGCGCACGGCGCCCACACAGTTCATGGCTGAGGAGGACCCGATGAAGAGCCGGTCGCGGTGCGAAGCAGGTAGCTGAGGCACAGGAGGGAGAGTAGGGGGGGAGAGGAGTGGGGAGGGAATGCAAGGGGGTGGTTCCAGAGAATGCTGCCTGCCCCATTCGCACGGCACCCACACAGTTCATGGCTGAGGAAGAGCCCGTCGCTGCGCGAGAGGTACCTGAGGGCAAAGGAGGGGGCGCGGAGGGAGGCGCAGGGGGCGTGTTTCAGAGAGGCCATTCTCTGCCTGCCACGCGCAAGGCGCCCACACAGTTGATGGCTGAGGAAGACTTGATGAAGAGCCCGTCGCTGCGCAAGAGGTAGCTGAGGGGAAAGGAGAGGGGTTTGGGGAGGGGGGGGGGGGGTGGTGACTGAGAGAGAGCTTCTCTGCCTCCTGCACGGCGCCAAACCAGTTGATGGCTTAGGAGGAACCAACACTCACACACACACAGCCACTCACACACAGCCACTCACACAGAGCCACTCACGCACAGCCACTCACACTCACCCCCCAAAACTCATACTCACCGAGCCATCTCAACGGCCTCTCTATCCGTCCCTCTGAAAGCTCCATCGATCCGCGCAGCATTGAAGTTAGCCGTCAGCCGGTTGATGCCGATGCCTTCTGTGATTGTATCGAAGGGGTTGCGCAGGCGCTTCCCCTCCGCCTCCTGCCGTGTGTACAGCACTCCGCGGGTGACCTTGTGAAAGAGACTCGACCCGGGAGGGTCTATCAGAAAGGTCTTCACTCCCGGGTTCTGCTCCTGCAGTGGGATAGAGAAGGAAGAGTTGAACGGAGGAAAGTTGTGCCACAGGTGGGGTTGCGCAGCCTCTTCCCCTCCGCCTCCTGCCAAGCGTACAGCAATCCCCGGGTGACCTTGAGAAAGGGACTTGACCCAGGAGGATCTACCAAGGAGACCCTCACTGATGGATTTTGCTCCTGCAGTGCAGTGGGAAGAGGATAGGGAGCGATACGAGGGAGCACAAGGTCCGTCTTTCTGATTCTGGCAGGCGTTTCCCCTGCGCCTCCTGCCGGGTGTACAGCACGCCGCGCGTGACCTTGTGGAAGAGGTGACTTTTGAGTCGACTCAAAAGTCGCACGCCGCGCGTGACCTTGTGGAAGAGGTGACTTTTGAGTCGACTCAAAAGTCGCACGCCACACGTGACCTTGTGGAAGAGACTCGACCCTAGTGGGTCAACAAAAAAGACCTTCACGGCTGGATTTTGCTCCTGGATGGCAGTAGGAGCAAGAGAGTGAGACGAGGCAAGGGGTCCTCTGAAACACTGAACACTGAACTCTACTCTGAAAGTTCAGTGTTCCTCAGTTTGGCTTTCCCCTCCGCCTCCTGCCGGGTGTACGGCACTCCCCGGGTCACCTTGTGGAAGAGACTTGAACCGGGAAAGTCAATCAAGTAGACCTTTACGGCGGGATAGGAGGGAAAGTATGGGAGGGACAAGTTGAGTCATAAGCAAAGGGCGTATCAGTAGGGGGCGGTTCACGTCGAAGGGGTTGCTTGCGCGACTGCCTGCCTCCCCTCCGCCTCCTGCCGGGTGAGCAGCACTCCCCGGGTCACCTTGTGAAACAAGCTTGAAACTGGTGGGTCGATCAAGTAGACATTCATGGCCGGATTACGCTCCTGCAGTTGGTGAAGCAGGGAAGGGAACATGGCAGAAAAGGTCGTGTCACATTGCATGGCTGGGAACATTGTGAAGCGGGAGCTTCCCCTCTGCCTCCAGCCAGCCGCGTGTGCAGCACTCAGCAGGTCACCTTGTAGAAGAGACTCGTAACCAACCAGTCCACCGATCATCACACAATGCACGCGTCACTAACATTAGTAACGTGTGACCACCACAAACGCGTCCACTGTGCCGCCGTCCACCAATGATCACACAATGCGCGCGTCACTAACATTAGTGCCTAGCTTACCTTCAAATAACACGACACCCCAGCAATGGACCCCCACGACACCCCAGCAATGGACCCACACGACACCCCAGCAATGGACCCACACGACAACCCAGCAATGGACCCACACGACACCCCAGCAATGGACCCCCACGACACCCCAGCAATGGACCCCCACGACACCCCAGCAATGGACCCCCACGACACCCCAGCAATGGACCCCCACGACACCCCAGCAATGGACCCCCACGACACCCCAGCAATGGACCCACACGACACCCCAGCAATGGACCCACACGACACCCTAGCAATGGACCCCCAGTGCCTGCCAGCAGCAGCCACAAACGCGTCCACTGCACCGCCCGTCTGCCTCCAGATCTCCGGGCCAGTGCCGAAGGCATCAACTGTGCCGAAATAGTGCGCTCGGTAGTTGGTCAGATTCAGCCACTCCCCTCACAAGCGCTCGCAACCACTCACCTTCAAATAGCAGGAGATCCCAGCAATGGTCCCCCCAGTGCCAGCAGCAGCCACAAACGCGTCCACTGTGCCGCCCGTCTGCTTCCAGATCTCTGGGCCAGTGCCACAGTAGTGCGCTCGGTAGTTGGCCAGATTCTCAAACTGGTCTGCAAAAAACCCGCTGCTGCTGCTGCTGCTGCTGCTCCCAAGAACTGTGATGCAACCATCAGTTCTGCCACGTGGCGCACCAGGATTGGCCACAGAGCCAAGCCCATCAACAGAGCAGCCATTGCTGGTACCTGCTGTGCCGACAGACTCTAATTCCAAGCAGCACCTGGCATCAACGCTGGTGCTGCAGCTAAGAAAACCAGTGCTGGCAGGAGCAGCGGAGGAACCTATGCTGCCATTGCAACATGTACTCTCCGTGTCCCTGCTGCCGCTGTCACTGCTGTCGTGACCGCTGCCGGTGCAACTGCCACTGCCCCTGCCACTGCCGGTGGCAGCATCAGTGGGGCCTCTGGGTCTGCTGAAGTGTTGAAGGGAGGTGAGAAAGGGGAGGAGGACGGGGGGAAGAAGGCAGGTGAGAAAGGGGAGGAGGACCGAGTTCATGTCTACTCGATGCTTTTCTGAGTGAAGGATATTGCAACAAGTAGACAAGACAAGCAGGAGAGATTCTGTAGGTGTCTGTGGGTGTGCGTGGGTGTCTGTATGTATGCGTGGGTGTCTGTAGGTGTGCCTTTAGGTGTGTGCAAGTGTGTGTGGGAAAAGGAAGGCAGCAGCAGGAATACCTACAACTGCTCTCACTAGTCACATTCTCTCCTCCTGTCGTCACTTCCCCCCGCCCGCCCCCCTCCTTTCCCATATCCTCCGCCTCCTCCCCTCCCCTGTTCACCTCTCCTCCCCCTCTCGCCTCCTCCTCGGCTCTCCGTCTTGCAACATTCACAAAGTGCATGGGGTGGGTGATGGACACAGGGCGCACACGCGCCACCTGGGAGGGAGAGGTAATGCAGGGGGGGGGGTGGGGGGGGGTGTGTGAATCTTGGGTGGGGTGAGTGGGTTGACTCAGTATATTCCCTCACCCACTCTCCGCCTTGCAACGTTGACAAAGTGCATGGGGTGGGTGATGGCCACCGGGAGCACACGCGCCACCTGAGGGGGCAAGCAGGAGCGAGGGGGGAGAGAGCAGCGCGGACTTGAGTCTCGGGTGGGGTGAGTTGGTCGACTCAGAAGAGTCGCCTCCTCGGCTCACCGTCTTGCAGCATTCACAACGTTCACAAAGCGCATGGGGTGGGTGGATCATGTGATGGCCACCGGGCGCACACGTGCTAACCTGGGAGGGATAGAAAGTGCAGGGGGAGGGGAGGGGGGACTTTGAGTCGCGAGGGGGGGTTGGGGAACTTTCAGTCAAAACCCGGTCCAGAATGCCTGATGCAAGGCACCCACCTCTGCACCCAGAGCTCGCATTGCCTCGGCCTTCTCCATCCACAGCAGCGCCGTCTTGCATCGCCAGAAAGCAACATCATCCAAGTTATACAAACCCTGAGCCCTAACACCCTGATGCAAGGCACCCACCTCTGCACCCAGAGCTCGCATTGCCTCGGCCTTCTCCACAGCAGCATCGTCCGGCATCGCCACGAAGCAGCGGCACCCAAACGCCGCGGCGACCAATGCGAGCGCGACACCTGTGCTGCCCGCACTGCCCTCCGTTATCAGCCCTCCAGGTTTCAACTGCCCAGACTCGAGAGCCTGGCGAGTGAATGGGGAGCAAAAAAAGGGAAAGACAGGAAAAAGTTGGAGTCAGTCTGCCCTTGCGCCAAGCGTCCCGTCACCTGCTTTCCTGCGCTGCACTCGTGGAAGCAGGTGAAGCCGGTGAGCAGGTAGGTGCGCCAAGCGTCACGTGCTTTCCTGCACTGCACTCGTCACTCACGTCACGTGTCAGGACTCAGGAGGACAAAAGCGAGAGTGCTGCCAGCCTGGCTTGCCATGTGACGAGTGCAGTGCAGCGATCGCCAGCTTTACTAGGGACCGCGACGCGTTCTACATAGTGCGGAATGGTTACCTCCTGCACGATCCGTAGCGCCACGCGGTCTTTAACGCTGCCGCCCGGGTTGACGAACTCCGCCTTGCCGTAGATCTCGCAGCCAGTCGCGGCGGACAGACTCGCGATGCGGATCAGCGGCGTGTTGCCGATCGCCGCCACCAGCCCGTCGCGGCCCTTCCGCGAAGCTTCGTGGCTCTTATGCCGGCCGATCGCAGCTCTTGGCCCGTCGCGAGTATGCGACGTGGGCTCCATGCGAGTCGCAGGGATCGCACGGCCGGTCGTAGGGGTCGTACGGCCAGTCGCACAGCAAGTCGCAACTGCTGCTGGGGGCGCTTTGAAGCCGTCGATATCAAGAGGAGCGACGACGAGGAGAGAATTGCAGCCGTCCATATTGTGGCGGCAGTGAGGCGCGGGGGGTGCATTTTGATTGGACGATGGGGGGAGCAGCGAGACTGGAAGCGCCGAGAGGACGGATCGCGTGTTATGGAGTAATCTGAAGCCAGAGCAATCAGGGAGGAAGGTGCGTGTGATGCGGCGCAGGATGCGGAGGAGGAAGGCATGGATGATCGCGGGAAGCGAGTGGAGCGGCCGCGAGAGGACGAGAACGGCGATTGCGGACGCGAATCCAGCGGTAGTTGCGGCGGCAAGTGCGGCGACGGTAGCGGGGATTCGCCGGGCCGCCATGGCGCGGAGCCAATGACGAAATGCCATGCCTAGAGAAATGGCGTGAAAATCTCCAGGCTGACGAAACTCGCTATGCTCCGCTTGTCGCTCCGCTAAAGCACAATCCACTTTGCTACCTCGATACTATTCATCATGGTAAGGCCTTATCAGGCTGAGCGAGCATCCATTGTCTCTAACGGCTCATTTGACATTAGAGACTAATTGACCTGCATTAATAAATGGGTGTAAGAATGTCTAGGAGTCTAATATGATTGCAAAATTTATATGATGGTTGAAAATGTATTATTACCAGTAGTAGGCTGGCCGTAAAAAAAAAAAAAAAAAAAAAAAAAAAAAAAAAAAAAAAAAAAACTGGTCAACTAACCCATTTTCTCTTTTGTAATTAATTGTTTTTTTCCTAGAACCAGATAATACTTCCCGATTATATTAGCTGCGCATGCGGATAGAGGGATTTTATTCCTATCCAAACCAACCAGAATGACCCACCCATCCATTTTGCAATTTACTGGTTGAAGAATTAACTGTTCTTGTTGTTACCACGCTGCATTCGAAATCTAGACGCCATTTATTGGAAGTTTGACCCTTCTACCGCGTATTTCTGGAACTTTGACCTGTCTAGCGCGTACAGATGATGCCCGGTTGAGCCCCCCAACCTTGCCTTACTCTCTGGGCGTTTAAGTAATTCTTGCACTTCCTAAATTTTAGTCATATCGCACCTAGCAAAACGGGCTTAAAAAAACATTTGTAACTCGCCTTGACCGTTTTACTTTGGTCTCTTCAGTCAAACTTCAGTTTCTGTGGTTCTCATTGCTCGAGGTGCTAGTAAAAGGGGTGCAACTTGCAAGCGCAAAATACACGGGTGCAGAGTTCCCGTCGCATGCACAGAAAATTTGCGTGCAGGGGCTGGGCATCACTTGTATCTTGAAAGTTTGACCTGTTTATTCGTTTTCTTGGAAGTCTGACCCTTGAGCGCGTTTTCTTATCTGTCCCATATGACACTAGTGTCTGTGAACCTCAACCAGTTATATGTGTTTTTCTTTAAAAAACAAATACAGCTAATGCCCGACCAGTGCACGCGAATTTGCCATGCACCGGATGGAAACGTTGCACCCGAGCTCACGCACCCTGCTTGCTGCTCCCACAGTACAAGCACCTGGATGGCTGGCTACAGTACACGCGCTGCGGCCACCAACCCACGTGCAGTCCCGAACAAGGCAGGCCGACCCTGGTTTGCCTTGTTTCTAGGCTAGAAGTCAACCAGGCGAAATGTAAGGACGAAACGTGAGTGGTTTCGTGAACGCATTCGCCCGACTGCCACGCCACCTAAGCGAGGTTCATCGTGCGTGTAACAGACATTTGGGCAGATTCACACTGCCACGTGTAGTCTGCACGTGTGGGATACAAGCGCATTATCAGCCAGGCATTGTTCGCCGACCCCACGTCAGACATTCCATCGTGTGGTTACCAAGCCACACAAGCGGAGATTCAAGACAGGTGCATGGAACTAACAACGGCCACACGACTAGGACGAGCCACACAGAACGGGCCCCACAAGTGACACAGCACGCCCGCCATCCGAAGTTAAAATCAGACCAACGAATTCACAAGAGCATCATTCTCACACACCCCCGCCTCTCACAATGCCCCGTTTCCATCGTCGTGACTGACACGATTTGCGGTAAATTAGTCAGGCAGAACCACATCCTGATTCCTGATTCCCCTAGGCGAAGCATCGGTCAGACCTTCTGTCATCCTCACAGCTCTTAGGAGTTCACAGGGTGTTGGTTCATAGCTACTAAAAGTATCCACGCAACTCGAAGATTCAACCTCTCTCGATCAAGTTCCACTATTTTTGTTTTCTGCCATTTCGCAAATGGTTAACCCGAAGCTTCCGCCGCGTTGGGTCGACAAATCAGACGCGTCATTGCAACTGAAAGAGCTGAGCCGCGATATCGAGCCGCTGTCACCAACGGCTCGTTCTTTTCTTTCTGACGAGTTCTACACGACAGTCCCATCGGCTCGTCCCATTTCAGAACACTACAAAAAAAATAGCTCGACCCGTCGATTCCCTCGTCCGTTCCAAACGGGAAACGCGCGATGCCATTTTTCGCATTCCAAATCACCACTTTTCACCAAGCCATTTCTCCGCGCGCTACTGTGTTTTCCTAACATGATCCTCGTGTCGAAGGAGCACCGTCGCCGTTGTAAGGGCAGCGAGCAGGTGTGGGTACGGACGACCGTCGATATGGCCTACCACGTCGTGGAAGGCACATAGCCCGACGGATGTGACAATAACAAAGTCGGTCCGGAACCCTCCATCACAAAAACAGACGAATGTGACAGTAAGTGTCGAAAAAGCGCGTGAGGAAGAAGCTGCTTCAAGACCGGCGGAATCGAAAGGAGGTGCAACGCCAGTGGCAAGAGCTGTCAGCTCGAGTGGGGGATTCGGCGTGTTATGAGGCGGGGAGCATGGAGTGGCACACCATGCAAGGCATCGTAGGCAATTTGTTGAGCACAAGTGTTCACTCCTTGTGCCCATTTGTGCGTGTTTCGATGTTTGTGTGTAATGGAGCTGGGGGCCATGTGGGAGAAGCTGATTGGTTGTGATTGGTGTTTTGGTTGTTTTGAACTAAGAGGAACATTTGATGAGGCTGCTTGTTTCGTTGTTCTTACATTCGTTGAGTAACCTGTAACACACATGTAGGACAAGTAGGGCCAACCATTACTGTTGCGAATCGGACAAATCGGGTGGTTACCATGTTCAGTTTTGAAGCACGCATAAAGCCTAACGAAATGTACGAACCCCACGCGAAATGCAGGTTTAGCTTACAGACCCCCTTCATAAGGCAACAGGGAGGGGCTCTAACGGGCATTAGCTGTACTCTTCGTTCACGGTCTTCTTCGCAAACTTTGTTTTGTGCGCCATTCGTATATGTCAACTCGTTCTTTGTCGCCATCGTTTTGGGTTTCGCGCGAAACTAGGTTTGCAGGTTACTATAGAACTTGTTAGAAGTGACTGTTGGAGCTAGGGTACGCAGCTGACTGTTGGAGGTCTAACGTGGTGCCCAGTTAGCACGATGTCGTCTTATTAGGCGCCGCGTGAGTGGCACGCTAGCCTCAGGTTCGGTTCGGTGGGATTCCGCTGGCAGTGGTCCAGTGATGGATAGACCTCAGGTTGCGCTGTTACATCGTATTAGACAGTGGATACTAAACGGTTTATCTTCAGGCCACCGAACTTATTTACGGTACGTGTCACTTGCCGAGTGGCTATGAAGCGGCCCAATCGGCCCGTGTCACTGATATGCAACGAGTGAAGGGAAAGCTTTCTGTCTTCCACACTCTCTCCTCCGCCAGCCACCCACTGAGTGGTTCCGACTCGGAAACTAGGGCGATCATGTGCCAGTACAATATAAATTGTCGAATCATCATGAATCACATAAGTTGTCTTTTTGGGGAGCCACCAGTGCGATGTGCCAGTGACTTTCCAGTAGTTCTGCTGGAACCCTAGCCGACCAAGCTAGTGGGTATTGAGATCAGCGTCATGGAGCGGTGAGCATTATCACCTCTCGTCTGCCGCCTGCTGCTCTGTAAGTCTTTTGAGAATTTCTGCTGAGTGCCGCTGGCTTTTTGTGAAGAGAAGACGTTCAAGTGAAGACGGTCTTTTGATGAACTGTGCAGCTCGCCGCTGATTGATGTTGGCTGCAAATGAGTGCTTGCTGCATGGATTGTGTGCAGCATCCGAAGCCGTTTGCTGCCACTGATGCGTGTGATATCATTCCCTTCCCCTCCTTCCCTTCCCTGTGCATTCCCGTCTATACTAAGGATGATGAGGATGATGAAGTCACTCTAGTATTTGCAGATACCATGTAACGCCTGACGAGGTGTTATACACCAACTCTTTCGCTCAGAATTATCAGCTTTGCTTCTTATTTCCCTGTTTTCACAACCTTTCCACAGAGCGCAAGCTTGTTACCTGCGCGTCCCACAACCACATGTGACACTGTTGCTATCGTACCTATAGCCGCTAAAGGGTCAGACGACTGAGAAAGAAACTGCACACCATAAAACCGAAAGCTGTATCGCTTACGGTGAGCATTGGGTCTTGTGATGTTTATGAGAGTTGGAGTATCATCGGGAACAGCCGTGGAGCAGGAACTTCCGTAAGCAATGGTGGGTTGATCTCCTCCCTTGAGGTTCATAAAAAGTAGCTTATAGTCCAAGAAGTACGATGTTGGAGAGTCTGAGTACCTGCCATTGGGGCAAGGGAGGGATATCTATCAGAGAGTATTGCTGCCAGTGCACTGGCAAAAATGCTCCCTCTGAAAGTGCTGCATCTGATTCATAGCAGACAGTTGCAAGAGCACACAGTGGTTGGTTGTGCGGGCGCCTAAATGACTGAGAATGGGCCTAACTCGCACGACTCGCAGAAGTCACTGTAATCCCACACCATAGGACTCGTGTGTCAACACCGCCGTTGGAACAGGGGTACGAGGGGAGAATTGAACGCGAGAGGAAGTCAACGAGGGGGAAGTCAACGAGGGGGAAGTCAACGAGGGGAGGAGTCAACGAGGGGGAAGTCAACGAGGGGAGGAGTCAACGAGGGGAGAAGTCAACGAGGGGGAGGAAAGTCAATGAGGGGAGAAGTCAACGAGGGGAGAAGTGAAGGAAGGGGGACGCGAACGAACGAACAAGTGAACAAGGAGAGAAGTGAAAGAGGGGGAAGAGGGCATACCTCACTGCCTTGGACACAAGTTTCCCCGAAGCTCCTTTGTCACCGAGTAATTTCCCCTTGAGCCTGGTAGGGCGCAGAGTGACTGCGTATTTTGCTAGAAATGAGAATGGGAGGGATGGGATGGGAAGACGAACAAGTTGGTAGTTGGCTGCTGAGTACGGGCCGGCTTGAGCTGGCATCAAAATCACAAACGGGAATGCCAAGGATGGGAATGCTAGGTTAGTGAATGGTGTAGCATACTCACACATCAGATGCAACAAACAGATGA